ATGGCAAAAAGAGAGCTGAGTTGGTTAAGCAGATGCATAAGAAAGCCAAGATGAACATCGAGCATAAGACGGAGCTGTACCGAAAGTATGCCAACAAAAATCGGACTGAGAAGGAGCGATTTCCGGAAGAGAGAAAATCCAAGTTGCTGCCAAAAGTGGACGGTCCCTTCACCATTTTGGAGAAGATCAATGACAACGCTTACAAAATTGATCTCCAATGTAAGTATGCTGTTAGTTCCAGTCGGGGGGGGGGGGGGGGAAGAAGGGAACATGGAACCAGAGGCTGAACCACGGGTCAAAGATCAAGTCATGGAGCAGGAACCGGACGCGGCTTTGGTCATTCCGGACGGGCCAATGACGAGATCACGCACCAGGAGGTTGGCCAGAGCCGTTCAGAAGATACTTACCGAGCTCAGGAACCAGAACATGGAACCAGCAACAACAGAAGCCATGACCCTTCTCACGTACCAGGGTACTTACTGACTTCAGTCTGGTATAGTTTTTGGTACTCTTTTTCCTTACATCTGGGTTTGTCCCAATGAGTTAACCGGATGGGTTTTAATGAGGTCAAAAGCTATACCACCACACGGCCGCAGTTCAGTACGTGCTTGGTTCACGGGTCAGAAGCTCAAGGGGCATTTTCGCTGAAGCAGCTCAAGGGTCAGTCAAAGCTAGGTGAAGAGTCAGTCCAAGTTTTTAGTCAAAATCATTTATTTTCTATGTAATTTCCTATGCATGACCCTTGGTCTAATCCGCCCTTATATAAAGGGATGAACCCTTCTCATTTTCGGTCATTCACTTTTCTTTATAAAATTTTGAGACTTTTCTCCTTTGTTCTTTTGAGAACTTTGTTGATTCTCAGGTGGTTAGCCTAGAATTATTTTCGGTTTATCAAGTTCAATCCATAGAACTTGATGCATCCTTCGTCTGTAAAGTTTAAAGTTTTCGTTTGTCGGAATCGGGGCTTAGGGATTTTCGAGAACCTAGTTCTCACGTTTTAACATTTTCTTACCGACGAGTTCTTTTTATCTTTGTTTCACCCCTTGTTTCAAACTATTCTTCGTGAGGTTAGGCCTAAGGATTTTCGGAAGTCTTCTCTCACGCTTTAGCATCTGCTCCAAGAGTCGTTTGGAGTCAAGAATTTATCAACCTTCGGTCCAAGTGTGTGAAGCCCTTAATAAGATCGTATCATTTATTTAGTAGATCTGAGTGTTTCTTGAATTATATTTGTCCATAATCCAAAAATGGAACAGAGGAAACAGCATGACACGTAAAGTAATTAACTTTCTATGTAGAACTAGTCTGCTCCATGGAAGTTTGCTTCGGGTAAGCAACTCAAATATTACTTATACTTTATGCGTTTGTTAGTGGCAATCAAAAACAAACTAAACTTCTTCATGCTTTGTGTTTTTCCCTTTTACTTGTATAGTTCATAGATCTGATAAGTGACACAAAGTGGTAAATGAAAAAAAGAGAACAGTAAATAGTACCAAAAATACTTAAAGAAGAAAAAAATAATGATACAAAAAGTTGAAAATATCGTTTTTGGTACGCTAGTTCTTACTGTATTTGTGATTGTAACTACTGAATTGATAGAGTCCACAGTATGAAATCAGTAAATTACCAATTAAACATTTGTACCGCACTGTGTTCTCTCATTACTGAAAACTACTCATTTTATATATAAATATAACTGAGATTTTTTTTACCGAAATCTAAATTAATTTTTTAATTTTTAGATATATAAAAAAATTAAATATTTTAGTTATTTGATGACAGTGACTAACAATAATTGGAATCAAGGCCGACTAAAAGCCACTCCAACCAGACAGCAAAACACTAAATTTGGTGTTAAAATTACTCCAACCGAATGGTATATGAGACGCTATATTTTTGTTTTTGCCGTTTCATGAACAGTATCACACCATATTTGGTATAACACTCTTCATCACACTAAATATTAAAATATTATTATTTTTAGTTGTTCTATTATATAATATAATTAGTTTGTTGTTTATTCATTGATTAAATATGTAGCTAAAAAAAATATGACATTGATATTTTTGTATAAATCATTTTAATGATACAAAAATTTATTTGTAACATAATATTTTTTCCCTCAAATAAGAATATTTTAAATATATATATACTTTTATTTTATTATTAATTACAAAGAACACTCATTATTTCTAAATTTATAAATTATACACAAATATTTACTTGTTAGTTTTGATTTTTGGCTTTATGGATATGTTCTACTAAATGTTTTAATGGTTTTATAGAAAAACTTTAATATACCACACTATCTCTTTGTGTTAACTTTATTTTTTTTAAATATAATTTTAATTACATAATTTAAATATTTGTTTGTTAGTTTTGACTTTTGGCTTTATGGATATGTTAAACTAAATGTTTTAATAGTTTTAAAGAAGTATTTAATATACCAAACTATCTCTTTGTCTTAATTTTATTTTTTATTAAAATATAATTTTGATTACATAATTTAAATATTTGCTTGTTAGTTTTGATTTTTGGTTTTATGGATATGTTGTACTAAATGTTTTAGTAGTTTTATAGAAGAATTTTGATATAACATGTTTTGGTATAAAACCTTATAAGAAATTTTATAAACTTTTATAAGAAATCTTATAAATCTTTATAAATAGTTATTGATCAATACTTAAAAAAAAGAAAATTTAAATATAATAATATAACAATAAAGAATATTCTTTTTAGTGTGAAATATAATGTTATGGTTGGAGATAGAAAAAAAAGTAGAACACTATAACATCAAATTTGGTGTTATTTTTACACTAAATTTACCGTTTAGGTTGGAGATGAAAACCTAAACGGATCAGTATAGGTGTACAACCTTCTAAAAATAAAAATCGGCTATGTTTATAAATCGGTTTCTTTTCATTTTACCATATATTTTGCAACCTTCTTAAACTCAAAACCTACTTTGATTGATAACACATAGAAATACTAGAATTTCGATTCATCCAAACCTCTCTCCAACACTAAAAGCATATGGTATTCAACTGAGAAAAAACAGTTGGACGGTGTCGCAATTATTTACTTGACTCAATATGAGTCATGACTATATGCCTTCTAAACGTAGATTCTTCAGAAAAGTCAATTCACCGCAGTAAGATTTGGTGTTCAAAATTCATAATAAGAAAATTTAGTTTAGTTTTTTATTTTATTTTTTAAGCTATGAAAAATTAGTTTTTAAATCAGGAAACTTTGGAATATAAATATAAATAAAAAAGCCATAGTTCAGATTTTGTCTATATATTTAATAAAAGACATAGTTCAGATTTTATTTATATTTTTAATTACATACATGCAGAAGTCCTAATGACCTTAGGATATGATCTATAGCCTGACTCGCAATAACACACGCCACGCTAAATTAAAAGTTTGATACGAGCCGTGTGAACTAACTATGATTTATTATGACCACTAAAGTATGAAAATTATGTTCCTTTCTAGCAAATTTAAGCCGTTAATCATTCAAAAAAAAAATTAAGCCGTAAAATAGAATGAAAATAGCGTAGAAGATAATAAACGAATAATTGGCACGACGTTAAGCGTAACTTTACATGGAATGATAGGGAGAAAAGTAGATTTCACGTCAATTATTTATATTTTTTTCCTTTTTATTTGCTTTGCTTTAGTGATAATTCACATTAACTGGTAATACACACCATGTGAGAAATGTTCAAAAAGGAACAGAGTAGGACAAGCTCGAAAGATAATTGTTTACCTGTCATTTGTCTTGTCGCACTTTCTAATTGTATTTTGAGAACTCTATTATTATTTTATTAAAAACACTTATCATCTAATTAGTCACTGTTATATTACCAAAATTAGTTTAGTAATAGACTAATAGAATAAGTCAAGGTAATACGTCTTGTGCGCAAAATTGAAAATTCAATCAAAATGATCTTTTCAATTTAAAACGTCAGTCTCGTAATTGTCTTTGTCCTACAATTACATTGCCACCAAATGTAGTAGATGTAATGCAGGACAACTCGTTAATATTTTATTTCTATTTTACTTATTTAATTTTTATAATTCAACCACTAATTACAACAATAGATTATTCAAGTGAACGAATCAATTTAGAATCATTGATTGAAAACTGCGAACGACACGGCCGGTTGAAACCTGATCCACAAATTGTCCCAAACAATTAATATTTTGAACCAATCTATAAAAATTATTAATGCCTTCGGGGGGAGACCAATCAATTTGATTTCTCGTTTGAATAATGTAGATCGGTTCAAATTTCTTAGTTAAGAAAATCAATGAAATTGGATAAAAATAAGAAACAAATACTCCCTCCAGATTTATTTAGTTGTCGTTTTAAGGTTATGCACACAGATTAAGAAAATATTAATTGTATTAGTTTTTCAATATAAAAACATCATTAATTATTTATTTAAACACAATTTAACTAATAATAAAACAAATTGCATAATAAAAATAATTATAAAAATTAAAAAACTAATAAATGTTACATTAAAAACTGAAAACGACAATTAATTTAAAATAAACAAAATTTTCTAAAACGACAACTAATAAAAAACGGAGGGAGTAATAATTTGTAACAAACTACAAAATAATGATTATATATATATAATTTAGATAACAAATAAATTTTTGTGTTCTTCATCTTCAATGATGATAAGAAAATACGAATAAATTTAGGTTACTTCTTTTTTTATGTGGGTAGCTTTGCATCATCCATGTATTACTCCAATTATTAATTTTCAATCGCTCTCAGTGCAAAAAGTATGTAAATAAAAAAGTATTAACAGAAAATATCGAATTGTTTTTCCTTTCTCTAAAGTACTGTCTAATCAGTGACAAAAAAATACATAAGATAGACGTTTAAAAAAAATACACAAGAAAAAAATAAAAAAATTTATGTGATGCTCAACCCTAAAATACTAATGCAGGTGATATGTATCTGAAATTAGCAGCCTCTTAAATTAAAAAAAAATCTAGATTTAAACATTGATAAAGACAAACTAACATATCAAACAAAAAACAATTACACCACAACAATCTAAATCAAATAAAATAAAAAAGACTGAAAGAAGGTTGGCAATAGGACCCACAAAACACACTGTCAGAAAATCTTCAGAGTTTCAGAGAAGAAGAAGAAGAAAGAAAAAGAAGAATCAAACAGTAGTAAATCCCAGGAATATTATATTTTCTTACCAAATCAAAAAACCTATCTCTTCTTATTCTTGTCTCTTCCATTTCCAGAGAATATAGATCCTAAACCAAACATATTCCCAGAAGGGACCATGTTTATAACCGGACTCACTCTAATCCCTCCTCCATGGCTTCCATAACTGTAACCTCCGTAATTTTTCTTCAATGGCGGTTTCTGAAAGCTACTGTTACTCGATGTAGAAGAAGAAGATGATGATGATGATAAAGACGACGATTGTTGTAGCTTTATATGCTCTGTTGTGTGTTTCCTCGAGCTCTGTTTCGGTTTACTCGACGTAGAACCGGTCGAATTACTCCGGTTTAGTAACGGTAACGGACATAGACTCCGTCCGTAACTACTTCCACAGTTTAAACTGCTGCTTCTCTTAAACCCCCAAAACGACTTCGTATTGGGTTTCTCCTCCGTTACGGAGACGTCATCGTCTTCTTCAACCGGTTTCCTCTGTTTCCTAAAATCCGGTTTAGTCGGTTCGGTTGGACCGGTATCGGGACCTTTCTGACCCGGATTGCGTTTCTCGGGCGGTGGCGATTCGGGTTTCTTCTTCTTCTTGATTTCTGTTGGCAAGATTTGTCCGTTACGGAAGAGTTCGTCGGCGGACCAAGAGCCTTGGTCGAAGCTTTCGGCGGAGTTTACGCCGCCGGGAATGCAGAAATCGAAATCGATGCTTGAATTGAGACTGGACGGTTTCGAATTCGACGATCGTAAGGGACGTTTCTCGATCGGAATTGCATCGGATTGACAAAAGTCACGAGAAAATGAGATTCTTGGACTCATATTAGAATTTTCCGATAGAAGATCCACCGCCATTATAGCAAAACGAACAATTTCCGAATTCTGAGAGAAAAGGAAGAGACTTTCTTGAATATTGATAGAAAGATAGAGAGACGTGGAGAGATATTTGGGGAAGAAGGTGAAGGTGGAACGATAGGAAGGGTTAGAATTTAATTTATATTTTTTACAAGTGAATTAAATTTAAATAAGTGTTTTGATTTTGATTTAATAAAATGGAAAATAAATAAAAAGAATTTTCGGGTGAAAGAAATTGAAAAAGTGAAAGGGAAGGAATAAATAAAGAAATGCTAATAGAAGAGGGGACAGAGAAGCGTGTCTCTTGCTACATATTCACATGCATGGGCCAAAAAAGGATATATGTTGGTTCTTCACTTTGTACAATTTTATTTTCTATGGTATAATTTTATTTGATGTATATCTTTTGAAAATTCTTTTAAGAGAGGCTATTTGGATCATTGATCTGGGAAGATATGGAATTTTTTATAAAATCCACTCTTATTGGATGTCCAATATTTCAAAAAGATAATGCATTTCGGAAATCTCTTCATGTTATAGGATATACCATGTCAAATTATTTTACAATAATATACAATCTACCATTATTATTTTGAAAGTTTATAAACTAACAAAAAAAAATCTAGGGTTATTGAATCATTTCTAACTGTAAATAAAGAGTCTGAAATTTTTCAAAGATTTGAATATATGTACTTATAGTTATATACTCAACCCCTTGAAAATCTCTAGAAAAACTGACTTTTTTGGAGATTTTTAGAAATAATATTTCAAATTTATCATTTTTTGTTGACTGAATTAGGTTTACTGGGTACTATAGATGGGAGATATAGGTTTTTCCGACTCTGATACAATGAAATATATTTTGAGACTAAATTTTCTTTGAGTATATATAGCTTCAAAATAAGAATGATCAACTGAAGATACCTTGAACAAATGAATGAAAAAATGTAGTATGTATTTATTTTTTATGATTCTCGATGTTAACAATGATTTTGCTAAGTCTTTTGCGTATGGGGAAGATGCTTCTTTCATCGATCCTTCTGCTTTTATAGCATTCCAAAACTAATTTCTCCGGTCATTACAAGAATTAAATTCGTATTAATTCTTTCGATTTAACCGTTCCCCTTTTTTATTCTTCGGGCTTTGAACAATTCTTGCTTTGCGAGGTAATCATCTTCTTTGTTTCTTTTGGTATTTTTTTTTTTTATTAGTCCACTGAATTTGGATGATTTACTTTAATTTATTTGTGTATTGTTCTCTCTAGGCTGTCATGGATCAGGTTCATAGTGAAATCCAACACTAAAAACAACGATATGATCGAAATTTTGAGAGCAGGTAGAAGAATCTCTAATAATTTCAAATATAAAATAATCCACCAAAACTTTAACCTGGTTTGTAGCAAATAAGTTTAGAGTGAGATTAATTCTCTAATTGTGTGAGTTCACCACAGCCAAAAAAAACAAAAAAAAGAGCTACATCCCCGTTATGAACTTTTTTTCCTTCAGCAAAGGGGAATCAAATAAAAACGACTAACTTTTACAAAAAGAAAAATACGGTTAATACAAACACTACAAGAAAACATTACATATTCCTACCAGATATTTCATCAGAAAATCGTAGGAAACCGGCTTTTCCTATCAATTTCCTACCAAATATTTTTGTAGGTTCTATGCCGTCAGAAATTTTCAAAGGTAGAAAAATCGTAGGAAATTTCCTACGAAAATTTTGGTAGAAAAATTTTGGCGGTAGGATATTCGTAAGGAAAATACCTACCAAATTACTTCCATCTTTCTACGAAATATTCCTATCATTTTCCTACCACTTGAGATTTTGTAAAAAATAAAATTAATTTTATAAATTAAAAAAATTAAATTAATTTCAGAAATTAAATTTAAACTAAAAGATGAATTAACTATTAATTCGATTATTAATATATATATATATATATAAACAAATTAATTAAAAGAGAGATGAAAATCTTATTTATAGAATAGCTTCATCATCCAAATTGTCTCAGATCATCGATGTGGGACAAAACCAAAGTTGAAATGTTCCTACAAAATTCCTACGATTTTTTTACACATAATATTTCGTCAGAAATTAGTAGGAAATTTCCTACGAAATACTTACTAGTATAATGGTCAATTGTATCCTATTACTTTCCTTTCAAATTTTGACCGCGTGGTAAATTATTGGTAGAAAATATCCTACGAAATTTCGACATAATTTTTGGTAGGAAAATCCCTACCAATTTCTTATCACTTTTACTTTTTGTCAAAATTACGTAGAAAATTGGTTATAAAAATTTCTTACCAAAAATTTCGTCAAAATTTTCATAGGAATATGAGATGTTTTCTTGTAGTGAAACAATTTAGCAGTACAAATACTTGAAATCTACATAAACTTAGTCGGATGTTAAAAACAAACAAGAAAAATTTTTTATGTATAATATCTCATACAAAATACACTGCATTTTTCTGAAATGTCCTTCCAAAATTGCACATCGGTTTTTGAGTAATTGGAGGAAATAACAACATGTTACTTACATAAAAAAATGTTTAGTTTTTGTCATTTGACAAACTCGCTCTTGGTTTTTTTTAGCTCACAAAAAGAAAATCAAAAGTTACAGAAAATATTTAGATCGTATCAAAACCCAATCAAACCCAAAGTCAATAAAAGTAATCTAAATCCAATGATAAGTCAAAAAACATATGTGCAATGTTTGAAATGTTTAGAGAGTCAACGTTGGGATTCGTGTTGACTAATGTGATGAAGCATTGAACATAGACCAATGGTGCCAAGTCACCGACCCGAGACTTTAACCATACTAAAGTTTCGTCACGAACTCTATCAAGTTAAAGAAGTGCATTCACATATTTTAAACCAAATCAATGATGCTTTTACTATGGTGTACTAGGAAATGCTACATTTTAAAGTATTCCTGATGAACAAATTTCAAACGAACACATGTCTCGCTTCTACATATCCTTATATGTTGCTTGCGATAACTATAACCAAGTAAAAACAAATATATTAGGTAATCAGGTATTCTAAATGCTAGAAAGATTAGTTGAAATTTTAGCAAAAAATGGTTAGATGATAGTATAATTCTTATAAAGTATAAGAATAATAAAAAGAAAAAACACGGTGGCATTGTTGATACTCCCCAATCAATACGAGCAGACACATATCATATATATATCAAAATTCAAGAATATATAAGATTTTAGGTTAGACCATAACACATATGCGTTGTTATCCACTTTTGTAAGTTGAATATGAAATATTTATCTGGTATCCTTTTACAAAAAAGATTAAAAAAAAAATGAAATTCATGTATCTGATCTAAGATTTCGTTATGTTTTTTTTTTTTCATTGTCACGATTGTATCTTCATTCCTTTTAAATTTAGTGTCTACTTAGTTCCGTTGTATACTTCTTATACATACCACTTGTAAAGCAGTGACAAAACCCTAATTTCTAGTACTTATAGTCGAAAGTATACTTTTTCTTTTAAAACCAAAAATTTCTGAGTCTAGACCCATAATATTTTTGCCGGGAATTAGACCAAGTTAATTTAGTCTCTTTCCCACCGTCAATTCTTTGAACCCAAAAAAATGGGTTAGTTACCGAAGGCGGATTATATTCAACAATTAATTCAAATATAGCTTCCTATTTCAAGGAAAGAAATATTACTCAAATAAAATGAACTTCTGTGTATTCTAACTAGATGGGTCTTTAGTGATAGAGAAGTCCAAACTCCTTCATTTTAATGAATCAGACGAATCATAAGAGTTTGCTTTTATAAAAAAAAAAAGAGCTTGCTTTTCATCAAAATAAAAATCGATTTTTGCTTAAAGTGAAAGTAAAGAAATTGTTTGTGTGATAGAAAGAAAAGAGAAAAGGAGATTTCATATTATCTAGAGAATGATAAGGAAATTACAAAACAATATACACTTGTGAATTATATATGAAAACAGAAAAACAAAGTAAGCATGGGCATGGGTCCGATGGCTACGTACTTACCGAAAACGAAGAAAGCCACTTAGAGAAACTGAAGGGTTGATAAATGGTCCACGTTTTCCCCTAAATCCTTTCTTTTCATAACCATTGGGTCGCCCATGAGCCCACCTAAAACCAACCCGACCCGATTAGATCCAACCAAGAATTGTCTACTCTTCTTGATCACTTTGCCTATTTTGGCTGCTCTCGGTAATATTAACAAGAAGTTGTCCAATTCGGTTAGGGTTTGGTTATGATGACAGAGAGTAAAAGATGGTCCTGTCCGACAAATAGCATTGGTGCTGTTTTGCTAACAAGTACCGAACTGCTTTGTTCAGACCAAAAACAAAAAATAATCAATCTGCTTTGTTCTCTACAGAAATTGATTATAAAAGCTGAAATGGTAAAAAAAAAAAAGTTGTTTCCCTTAAGTCATGAAAAGAAGAAATATTGTTTTTGGTTCCGTTTGATTTATCAATCAATATGGCCTGAATCAATATGACCACTGAGATAATCATCCAAATCCAGAGATATGCATGGTCGTCGCCCTCGTATTAGAGAGGGTTGTGTGCATGCTCATAGGCTTACTTACAGTCCAATTGACCTCACCAAAGTGATAGATTCCTTTCCCAAAATCTTTTTGTGAATATGAATAACATATTTCTTGATGATTTTTTTATAGATGCAACAGTAAAAAATCTGTCGGAGGATCTCTCGCCTACATTTTAGTTTGCATAAAAAATGTGAAGTTTGGTTTACATTTAATGTATACGATTATGGATGTGGATCTATCGATCTGTGTATGTCATTTTGATGATTCTTGGACGAGTGACGGTGCAACTAGTGGTTCTTGATGGATTAATGGCACATCCAGTTTATTGGGTGAAATCTCAACACCTTCATCTTTAAACTCCATAAATGATTTGGACAATGAAATGTCAACAACATAATCACGATTTATTTATATTTTGTGAAGGTTTTTATATGATGACTTCTGCACCAAAGTTACATGAATTAGCCATGATTATTAAGTTTTTATCTAAAAGTTACATGAATTAGCCATGATTATTAAGTTTTTATCTAAAAGTTACATGAATTAGCCATGATTATTAAGCTTTTATCTAAAAGTTACATGAATTAGCCATGATTATTAAGCTTTTATCTAAAAGTTACATGAATTAGCCAGGATTATAAGTTTTTATCTAAAAATGAGTTAATTCGTCAATTACATATACAAACAACGTTTAGGCAGATTTCGTTGCTTCAATAATTAAAACGTTTAAATTCTATTTCGTTGCTTCAATAATTTAAAACGTTTATTCTCTTTAGTAACTTTAGTTGTGATGCATCGAACTTTGTTTGTATAATAAAGTTGCATATGCTTGTTGACACAATATTCTCAGTTTTCTAGCATTGATAAGCATTTGTAGACGATCAAAGAACCATGTAGGATACAAATTAGTTGTCAATAATCTAAAATACAAGTTATAATGACTTTGTACCTTACAATCTTACACCACTTATACATTACAATTCTGTTGGTCCAAACCACCTAAGAAAGAAAAAAAGAAAAGATGAAGATCGTTATACCAAACAAAAAAAAACCCGCCAATTTTCTAAATTAACCCTTTTTATTAGTAAAGTTTTCTAAAAATCAACTTTTTTTTTGTCAACAACTAAAACCAATCTTAGTCAAATTTTTGAGTTATCCAAAAGAAGTCGACATTTTCGTTAGTTCCAAAATAGCTCAAACTTTAGAGTTATCTAATTTTTTTGATGATACTACGTAACAAGTTTAACATTCAAAAATTACTCTAATCGAAACAAACTTGAAAGAAAAAAACTGCTGTGGAAATAAATAATACGCGTTATCTTGAAAAAAATAGGAAAACTAAACGCGCGATTTGGTCAATGTGGTCGTGGATGGGTCACCTAATCTTTTTAATTTCCCTCTAAAAAAAGAAGAAATAAATTTTCTCCCAATTTCCTCGAAGAAGAACATTAGAAAATAAAATGTCAGGAACTGAAAAAAACTACGAAACCAATCAGATTCGGCCATTTCTTTCCCTCTTTTCTTTTTTCTCCCAATCACTCTTCAGATTCCGAAAAAAAAAGCAAACAAAGAAAGAAAAAATAGATTCTTTATCACCGGAGTTTTCACCGGACTCTTAAAAGATGAATACGCCGAACTGGGAACTCCGGAGTTGCTGTAACCGAAACCAGAACACGTTCCTCATCACCATCGGAATCTTCACCGTCGTTATCCTTGTGGTTAGTTTTTCCCATCTAATGTCCTTGAGAGAAAGAGTTTAAAGTTTTGACCTTTACTTGTTTTCTTCGATTCAAATTGAAGATCCGACAAATTTTTTTGTAAAAGTTAGTTTAAAGGGTATCTCGATTGTAGTGTTTTATGCAACTGTTGACTTATAATTTCATTCAAAGTTTGTGACTTTTGGCATCATAAAGTTTCTATATTTGTTCTTGTTTCTTAAGATCTTCACAGAGATTTCTTGGTTTTGTTTTTAACAGCTATGGAGGACATTTCTATTGACTCCATTTAAACTAATCACGGTGTTTTTGCACGAAGCGAGTCATGCTGTTGCTTGCAAGCTCACATGTGGAGATGTAAGGAAGCTCTCTCACTTCAACTACTACTTCAATGAAACTAAAAAAGGTTACAAAACTGATTTTAGGTGTAAACCCTTAATTCAGTTTGTAAACTTGAATTGTCCTTTTGATTTGTTAAATTATACTGGTTGATTTGTGATCCACTTTGCGAGCATAACATCTCTTTAGATATGCACATTTACCAGTCGAAAGGTTTGCTTTAGCATTGATGTCTCTGCATTTTCTCTGGACATGACTGTTTAGCATAGAGTGGATTTTAGCATCTTGATTCAGTTTGCAAACATAAACCGTCTGCTTCGATATGGAAAAATACACTTGGAACTCAGACTAATTTTAGGTTCCTTGAAAGTTTAAATGCGGTCGGGGTTCGCTTTGAATAGGCAGAGAAGATGTTTTTGTTATCATCCACTACTCGCATGGCTTTCTTTAGCAACAATACCTTGTGTAGATTGCTTTAGCAATGTTTGTCTTTGGATATGGCTGTTTAGCACGATCGTAAAGTTGGCATCTTGATGTCGAGTTACGATATCCTTATTTATTGTGCCATTCGCTATATTCCTCATTTGGTAAACATTGTTTTATCCTCACTTGTATATGATTCTCGCTCTATTGCTAATATGTAAACTACTAATATACGAATATACGTCATTAGTCTAAGAAGCCAAGACACACAGTTAGCTCAAACCTTAGCTTTAGGTCGACCGTAGCGTAGGACTAAATGTTAACAGATTATAGCTGGCTGCTGGTCTGAGTTTGTGAGAAAGCAGTTAGTGAAAGCGAAATCTGTAAAGATGTCTCTGCAGATTGTTAAGGCTGTAGAATTTATAGAATTTGATTGGGATTCCGGATGAAAGCCTTTTCATTAATAAGTTTCTCTAGTTGGTGAGTGTTATAAGAATAGCAGTGTACAGCTTAGCTCTTATCATAGTTCCAATAATGCAGAAAAGATAGTAGATAAGTTACACCGCTCAGCCCAAAAAAAATCTTTGATTATGTATTGATTGCACATTATTTTCATCAAATGCGTGCAACATTCTCTATGTTAATCTGCAACTTCATTTTTTCAGTTTGCACTTTGCACAGTCGCATATAATATGGATATTGTGTGCCTAAAAACAAATGTGGCTAATTTTTGTTTGAACTTAATCTTCTTCGTATTGAATCAAAAAGGTGGAGGGGATGGAGGTGAATGCAAATGAAGGAGGTTCCACAACAACACGTGGCGGCATCTATTGGCTGATCTTACCTGCTGGCTGTAATATACAATCTGTCTATCTCCCTTAAACAAATCAACCATTTTCAAATTTGGACCTTCCATTGTTGATGGCTAAAAGTGTTACATATATATTTGTTGTAATGGTTATAGATCTTGGCTCATCATTTTGGGGAATGGCTTTGATTCTTGCATCTACTAATCTGCTTACAGCAAGAATAGCTGCTGCTGGTCTCGGTCTTGCTTTATTCATCGTCCTCTTCATTGCCAAAAACGTAAGTAGAATTCATTTTTATCTCATTGAGGCATTGACATCAAACCAATGACATCCAAATTTTCAACCTTGACAGTGGACGCTTCGAGGTCTTTGTATAGGTGTGCTATCTCACGGTTCTTCTTGTTAAATTTTTCATTTTTTAGTTCTCAAAATGATAGTTGACAAAAAGATTCTAACAATCAGTGAAAAAGTCTCTCAGGTTTCATAGTTTTCCTCGCTATCATATGGGTTCTACAAGAGTTAACTACAGTAAAAATTCTCCGTTATGTCATTCTGTTCATCGGTAAATGAACCTCATTTTGTTCAGTCTTGTTAACATGTTTGAGTTTCATCTTCTCCGTATGAAAGCCAGATTCTTGATATTGCAGGTGTGATGAATAGCTTATTCTCAGTTTACGGTATGTGTTTCCTTTTCTCTCCCAATAACTTCACTTAAAGTTATGAACTTATGAACAAGAAAGAAGCCTCATTTGGTTTTGTTCTGCAATGGCTATTAGATATCTACGATGATCTGATATCGCGAAGAGTCCATTCAAGTGATGCTGAGAAGTTTGCAGAGATCTGTCCTTGCTGTACTGGTTGTGGCTGGGGTGTCATATGGTGAGACTTTAATCCAATTTTACACACAAAAAACAACAAATCTTTGTTTTTTCTTTGTTTCTGACCAAAAATGGTTTTGATTTTTCAGGGGAATGATATCTTTTGCGTTTCTTTGCGCATCATTGTATCTTGGGCTAGTGATCCTATCATAAAAAGGTGTTCTTTTGGTTTTGGCTTTCTTGTTTTTTGTTAAGCACATTTTTGCTTTTGAATTTTGATTAAGCGTTTTCATGATTTTTGTGAATTTTTGGTGTCTCTCAGGTTTCAAATTCTTTCCAGTGAACTGCGGAGTCTCCTTTCTTTCATCTATGCGCAGTTTTTTAACAGAAAACATTTTTTTGATTAAAAAGCTTGATTCTTTAGATCCCTTTGATGTATTTACATTTGATTGAAAGTTTAGGGTTTATCATTTTTTTTTTATTCATTTTGGAGTTTGTGTTGAATAGAATTCATTGATTGTTCTGTTTTAATGCATTGTAAGTCCGTTGATCTTGTCATCAAAACAAAACTCCGTCGACTTATTCCTGTAAATGGTCATAGTATCCTCGATTAGACTTCGTCCTTTCTTCCAAATTGATACTTAAACACCAAAATCTATTATATAAAGACTCAGCTGAGTCTCACAAACTTGACACATCAGCTTTCGAAAAAAATAATTTTCTCAATTCCAAAAAAATCTAATTTATCAGCCATGACACAAGTACAAATCTAGTTTCTATCTAGAAAAGTCATTCTCTTACAATAAAAAGGAAATGCATTGAATTTATAGTGTTATTACTTTGTAAACGACACCCGAGAAAATTGAACGAGGCTAAAATAAATTCATTTTTATAAAATGGAGCGGCATTCCACCTATTTTTCATTTTTCTCTTACGCGCTTAAAAAGCTCCAGAAATCAGGTATAGCGCAACTGCAGTCACGTTCATAACCAACATTAGAAAAGAATTAAGGTCTTGAAATAACATATCCAAAATGCATATTTCTTGTGTTAATTTTGTTTTAGTGATTGTGGTTTTTAGTGTTTCAGATCAGAAAGGCGATCAAATACATGGATATAATCACTCTACTCTACGTGTCTACGAGGAGGAAATGATAACCAATCCTTCTCTCATAGAAAGAGAGCTAGGATCAAGCTGTATGTAGTGTAATTACACACTATATATATATATATATATATTCATTCCTATTTTATGTATATATATAAGAAAAACTTTATGTGCCATTAAAAAAATTATTTCTTGTTTCCATATTAATTTAGAGTTTTATATGATGTTTTTTGTTGTTCGCAAAACATTGAAAAAACCATAAATAGTTTGTTTATTGCATGCATGAAAAATTATGATATCTTTGTATGCGTAATGCTCTGGTGCCTAACAATATTATTAGGTTTAGAGCAGATGATATAACAAACGAAGTTGAAGTTTTAGAGGCATTTTGTCTTCTGTTCAATTTCTGTTTATAGTTTTCGTACATCTTATATATATACATAAAACTGACATATAGTGAATGCTTAACTCAATCTAAAATCAGTTATAAAATTTTCTTACGTAGCGCCTTATTTCTCTGTCACATAGACAAAATTCTTTGTGTATCAGGAGAATGTAATGCCCAAATTTTATCATATTTACTTTATTGACGTCCGAACTTTATATTTTTATAACAAAAAATGAATATTTAGAAAGAAATTATTGTTTTTAATATTTATTACCCTAAGCAGAACTCAAAGGATTTGAGATGAGATTTAAAGCTAAGCTGAAACAAACAAACGCAATATTTTGTATTTTATTGTGTGTCTTTGAGTGTACGTATTTTGTTAATTTTATTTCATTAGTAAAAAAAACAGAAAATATATAATAAACAGACAGATATATGTCTTATTTTAAAGAGATAACAATAGAAAGTGATTTGCGATTACGTAATTCTATCATGATCTAGAAAATTTAAATTCGCACATATATATGTATATATATTATTGATCAACTTAACTATTATATATATATAAATTACCGCGTGTACACGCGAAGTTTTATCTAGTTATTGTAATAGTTGTGTACAAAATATCATGGTGTAGAAAATAATTGTTGTAGTTAAAAATTCAATAAAAAAAATAATCAAATTCTATTATATGGAGGAAAAATTTCATATTTTGTACTCTTATTAAATTTCATAATATTTAAAAGTAAATTTCCATTTTTCTTCAAAATTACAGCGAATAAATCCTAACTTTTTTTGTTTGATAGATAAGCAATCTTTTTTGTCTGATGGTATAAAGAGGTATATCGTTTGGAATCTTCCGAGGTTCATCTTGCATTATCTTGGTTCATCTTCCAATATATCTATTGGTTTGTAGATTAGGTTGAAGAAAATGAGAAAAATTTGTAGTAAAACCTTTCTTTGAATATTTCTGTTATAACGAATGCGAAAAAATGAAGTTATAAACATAAGGAACACAACACAGATTTAACGTGGTTTACCAACGATGTGTTGGTTACTTCCACGAACAAAAAAACCTATTTATTAAGGGAGGCAAAAGGTTCAGAAAACTCTGATGAAGGTTCTGAATCATAATCGGAATACATCAGAATCGGAATACATCAGAATTAGGTATCACATAGGTATTATAACTACCTAGTTAACCCTAATCATTTTTGGACCTGTCGTTCACGCCTATGTAACGTCCTTAAGCTGATAGCTTCGACCCATTACTCAAACCGACAATCTGCAGTAAGCTTCGTAGCTTACACCTCATCTGAAAACAACTCCGCAGCTTACACAATCTGTAACCAACATCTTCTACAGTTTGCTATGTAGCTTGCACCTTCCAGAGGTCACACTTTCCGCAAGTCGCACCTTATGGAAGTCGCACCTTACGCAAGTCGCACCTTACGCAAGTCGCACCTTACGCAAGTCGTACCTTCTGCAGGTACCTTCTGCAAGTTGCACAATCTACATTATGCTCTGTAGGTCCGCACCTTCTGCAACTTGCACCTCTCACAGTCTCAGATTTAAGGCACATTAACAAATCTCCACCTTGTCTTGAATCGTCCAAACAGATGTACCAGATGCACTTTTACAGTGCCAGATGTACCGAATTTTTCATTTGCCTCACACGTTTGATAACACCTAATTTTGACATATTTTCACCATTGATTTCAAATGCTTTTTCAAAGGTTTTAATCAGTTTTAGGAATTTTTATTATGATTTCCATGTATTTATAGTTTCAAGACTTTTTTCAGGAAACTTAGGGAAAATGATGGCAAAATGGAAGAAATCCACTTTTTAAAGCTCAGAGTCAGACCGTCAGAAGTTCAGCCTCAAATGAAGACTTTTTCAACGTCTGATCTAGTTCAAATTTGGAGACAATCAAGAGGAGACAACCAGATTTCCATAGCACTTTACATCACAAAGATTCAATTGTGCAATCAAAAGATACATGGAGAACAAGCTGACCCAGTTTACCAGTCCTGGAAGACTCTCACCCGCGGCAAAATCATGTTTTACCTGCCCTGGAAGACTCTCACCCCCGGTGTACCTTAGGACGAGCCACAAGGCCCAACATCAAAGCCCACTTCGCCATTCCTCTTTAGAGAAGCCCTAAATGAGACCTGGAAAAACTTAGGACCTATAAATACATTGTTTAGCGGCTCCAAACAGGTGTGTGCTCCTGTAATGAGATTTTGAGCCACCAAAATCTGTTTCTCTAGGGTTAGGCGATGGAGATGGGGATTCTTCCCCAGATCCATTGTTCTTTCTCCTTTCAATTCTACTAACTTTTCTGTTTCACTCTTTTGCATTTTTCTATGTCTTTTATTATTCCTTGCATCATGTAGATCTGTCCCAGAGAGTCAAGTTGTTTTAAGAGTCATCGATGATCATATATATCGATTAGGATTTCTATAGTTCTAAACCATATTCTGGATCTCATCTCTTCTAAGTTGTTCATATTGCATGAGAGTAGATTCATGACCTATTTTCTGAGCCTAGGATCGATCAGAGCCATGAGAGTGTTGTATCAGATCATCCATACCTAGCTTCAGAAGAACATAGTCGCTATAGGAGTCGAAAGCTACCCATAGAGAAGATGTGAGCAGACGAATTCAATGTCTAATGCATGATCTTATTTCTGTCATGAGAGCGAGAGTTAATTGTCATATCTAAGTGATTAGTTGATTAAGATGACGAGAATTAGTTAATCATACATATGTCTATTGTAGTTCCATGCAGATTCCTAGAAACAGATGAAGATAAATCGCCCGGAAGCTAATTGTAAATGCCACCATACATCGATTATAGTAAATCGGAGAAGTCTAAATTGCACCCTATGAGTTTAAGAGTATTTAGTTTGAGTCGATATGCTTGAGATATGCTTGAGATATTCTTTTAACAATTCATCATGCATTGCATTTTATCTCTTGTGAATATTAGATTAGGTTTAGTTTAGGACTTTTAACTAAAAACCCCAAAACGTTTATTGGTTTATGATTTTGCTTACTTCCCAGTTTGTTGTTTCTTGCAGATTAGACATTCTCCCTATGGATCGACACCCTAAGTTCTACAATCTGTGCACTTTCAGATTTTAGGGTTTTATAAATTTAAAACTTTCTTTATGGACCAATGAGCTTGTATGAAAAACAACCCTAGGCCCGTAGCTCATCAAAGTTTTTGGCGGCGTTGCCAGGGAGGTTCTTAGTCGCTGGAGGTCTAAACCTAGGAGGTTGAAGCCACAAAAGACAATATATATGTCGAGTTTCTGCCAAAAAATCATAGGAAGTAAACCAAACTCATAAACACCCTAACTTTTTTTTTTTCTGCTTATTCTCTCTTCTGTTTGCCCTAGTTTCAGAAATCTTTGAAGCATGGATCATCCAAGAAGAAATCCTAACCCTGATCGAAGGTTTTGCAACTTGTGTGAAGCTCCCTACGCATGTGAATCACCTTCCAGGCGTGATTCCAATCATCCAGTTCGGCCAGATCATCCGAACCACCACCATGGAAACTCGCGACCTCTACACCATCGAGATGAGCCCTTCACCTGGTGAATCGTCGACCATCTCATCCTCTTTCTCATCAGATTATGCACCAGAACTATGAGGATAATCTGTTTAAAATCCTGCTAAATCGATTGGAAGCCAAGCTGAATCAGTTCCTTGCCTCCCAAGCCATCATCGATGCTGCCCTGCGAACAAGGATAGATGACATGACCGTCGACCTTAACAAAAGGTTTGATGACCTCTCTGAGCATGTGAAGATACTGGAGATCAGATAATCAAAGATAATGACGTGTCGAACCAGAGAATGGAGTCTGTCGAAGAAGAGCAGGACAAAAACAAGTTCAACATTCGACAAAATGAAAGGGAGCTGCAAACCCTAACTTTCAAGATCGATGACTTGGATAAGGAACTGAATGAGAGCAAAAACCAGACCTACGACTACACATTGGAGCTGTGGCAGGGCGTAGCTAAGGTTGAAAACAAGACAGAAGAGCTTGATGCTACTCTAGACAAAGTTGTCTATGCTGTAGATGAAGTAGAAGAGAAA